CAACCAAGTCGAAGCGCCTGACCACCCGATCCTGTTAGTCACCTCTTACGACAAGCATAGTCGCCTTTTACGGCAAGCATGGATTGCTGAAGACCTATTCTACCCCGGATGTTCACTGGTCATATATATGTACTAACATTTGCCTGACAAAGTAGACACATTTATGGATAAAAACGTCTGTACTATACTGTTATGCCAACGTTTCAGTGTGGATCCTTATACCGTTGACAGCAAGACTGCATACTGAACATGATACACAATTATATATTGTAAGTGAAGAATTAACAGTAACAACAGTATGCATACAAGCAAATATGTTAGTTGTTATCCATAAATCATAATTACACCAGAAATCACTGTATTATGGAATTTGTTTTTGTCCATTTCAGATATCTCTTGATGACAATAGTCTGTTTGCTGCTCCAATAAGGATCCCTCCAAACGAGGCCGTCGCCCTTCATGTTGGCTTTAGCCTCATCAAAAGAGTGCAGATCAAATATCCATAGTCGAAAATAATATCTGGCTACATTTTGGGGAACAAAATGTATTTTGAAAGAATAGAAAACCTATTTTGGCGATTTTTCTAAAAGTCAAGTCAGGTTACATCGTGGCCTGATTGTTAGGTACACTTCGCAATTGTTCAAGAGGTTCGAGGTATGTCACCACAGCCAACACTACGAGGCCTGTGAAGCTGAGGGACCCACATACCGTGTCTCTGACAGATGCTCAGAGACTTCTGATAGTTTTATGTTTTTGGCCTATTACGAACCTATTTACGCATGTATCATTATAGAATGACTTTTATTCACCCTCTTGCATTTCCATATCTCATTTGAACTTGGAAAGTTGAAACTCTATTTTCTTGGTATAATTTCCTAATTACGTCTGATTAACACGGTTTGCATGAATCCATTGTTGGTACAACTTACATGTTTGATCAAACTGTTTCGTAAGGATTTCAGCTTATCAGAGTTTCTACTTTATCCATTGTTTCTATTGATTGGTGAATCCGTTTTTGGTTCCCGTTTAGGTGTTTAAATGATGACAATTTGCGAATAAGATGTTGCTTTTACGTTTGGTTGCTTAAACATGGTGCCCTCGGGGAACCCAGGGTAGAAGTAAGTTATCAAGCTCGTTATGAAACCTTTCCCTTTTTCAAACCATTCTTTGCTGACTGATATATGTTCCCGTGTTGTTTTTTGGCGACATTCAAAATATTGTTGTTTGTTCAAAATGTTGACATTTGGTTCAAGAGCAGTTTGTAATGGCTCTATAAATATGGTCAGTTTTTGTTTTACTTTGTTAAAAACAAAATTACGAAAATTCTTCAGATTGGCCTGCCACAAAAATGACATTGTTGCAGTATGTAATAGTTTTGGGAAAAAAAATATTTTACATTGTATTTGGTCCTAATCGTTTAGGTTTTAGAAATTATATAATTGTATGGGATGTATGTAAAATGTATGGAACTAGAAAAAACATATTCTCCTTAAAAGGAATTATTATTTAACTCAGTGTTTCTGCAAAAGATTTACACAGAATGTAAACAAAAAGCTATACGTAACTTGTATTACAGCCTAGCTCTTCAATGAAGACATTAAGTTCTTACCTGAGAGGATCTGTATAATCTTGCATCCAGTTTGTCAGTAGTTTAGTACAGAAATCAGCTTGATTGTAAGTGACATTGAAGACCCTTGAGGAACATCCACTGTATATGAACACACAATGTCATTTAGAAAGTGGTAAAATGTATCAAATGCTATATTTATGATAACACTTTCTTAGTAAAGTACAGATTCTAGTACTTTTATTTGGTTGAGTCCCATTTCGGGATTCGAACCAACACTGTCAGAATGAGGCACCAAGTCGCCAGCAAACAAAGTAAGTGATCTTACGCACTCAGCCACCAAGGCTTAAACAAAAAATGAAAGTCTGACAACTGAGAGTCATCATCACATACGTTGTGTACCCCTCTGACAAGCGTAAATTGTCACGGCTGCCATGGCTGGCAGCTAGCTGTGAACACACACAATGACACTTTCCTCAAACCATGCATAAATGTTTGGTAATGTATAACCACTGCAAACCTCATTTGTTAAACTATATTAGTTAATTATATTACACAACTAATTGGGTGTGATTGATTTGGATGGGCTTTTCAATATAGGTTTTAAAAGCTTTGAGTGGCTTTTGTTTTATTGTTATTTTTTCTGTGGCCTTTTATGCTTGTTTCAAATATCCACTTTAGAAATAGTAACATGAAAGTCCAATCGGATATGTTATGACATGGTGTTCAAACTTGCGTACATCCACTTTGTTTCTGCTTATTGATAAAGTTTTGTCACTAATGTAATCTCCGAGTATTGGATATTCCGGGAAACTGTATGACATTTATTGTTATTTATGGCCGGATTTATTACGTCACGTAAGACGGGTACACATGCTTGTGATATTAACAGTGATTATAAGTTTACTACATATGCATCGGACTTTATATGGAGAATAGACATATTGTTTCCAGCAACGGCTTCAAAACTCTGTATGTTGTTATTTATTTAATACAATGCGCCTGATTTTGTTTCAACAGTCTGAAGCATAATTATTTTTTTCATTGACAATTTATTTTTCTCGATAAGATCCGAGCTGCCTTAACTAATACTTATTAGTTGGACACGTGGCGGAAGCATGGCAGCAAATGCCAGAGATTGGTTGATAACCTCCAAATTAACCAATGTCTGCTTGAAATTGAATATGGCGCCATTCTGAGCTTCACACAGTCAGTGTAGTTCTGTTTTCATGGTTTTGTTGTTTTTATGCATTAAGTGGCCAGAATTATGGTTAAAGTGCAAATCTTTAAATATAAAATTAGAATCACAACTGGGATCCAGGACACTCCCTGTGATGTACACTGCAACACAAACTCCTGGTGTACGTCCCGTACCTGCACAGACTATCAGTAAACGTTAACAAGCTGACAAACTCGTGGTTTAGGACCCGTACCTGCACAGACTATCAGTAAACGTTAACAAGCTGACAAACTCGTGGTTTAGGCCCCGTACCTGCACAGAATGTATGTAAACGTTTACGAGCTGACAAACTCGTGGTTTAGGACCCGTACCTGCACAGACTGTATGTACACGTTTACGAGCTGACAAACTCGTGGTTTAGGACCCGTACCTGCACAGAATGTATGTAAACGTTTACGAACTGACAAACTCGTGGTTTAGGACCCGTACCTGCACAGACTGTCTGTACACGTTTACGAGCTGACAAACTCGTGGTTTAGGACCCGTACCTGCACAGACTGTCTATACACGTTTACGAGCTGACAAACTCGTGGTTTAGGACCCGTACCTGCACAGACTGTCTATACACGTTTACAAGCTGACAAACTCGTGGTTTAGGACCCGTACCTGCACAGACTGTCTGTACACGTTTACGAGCTGACAAACTCGTGGTTTAGGCCCCGTACCTGCACAGAATGTATGTAAACGTTAACGAACTGACAAACTCGTGGTTTAGGACCCGTACCTGCACAGACTGTCTGTACACGTTTACGAGCTGACAAACTCGTGGTTTAGGACCCGTACCTGCACAGACTGTCTGTACACGTTTACGAGCTGACAAACTCGTGGTTTAGGTCCCGTACCTGCACAGACTGTCTGTACACGTTTACAAGCTGACAAACTCGTGGTTTAGGACCCGTACCTCCACAGACTGTCTGTACACGTTTACGAGCTGACAAACTCGTGGTTTAGGCCCCGTACCTGCACAGAATGTATGTAAACGTTTACGAGCTGACAAACTCGTGGTTTAGGTCCCGTACCTGCACAGAATGTGTATAAGCCTTTACGAGCTGACAAACTCGTGGCACAGACTGACAAGCCCTACAAGAAGGCCATACGCGACTGCAGTTGTGTCGATTACATCATCACTGGCTTATGCAAAGTGATGAATCCTGTACCTTTCTTTCAAGGAGAGACTGGTGGATTCATGTGGATCGGTGACAGAGTAAGTGTTTTAACGAGTGTGGCATACTAGTTGAAAGATTCGGTTGAGGCAGTGTCATGGTGTGGGAGCCATCACTTGTCCCGGCACTGCAAGCACCAGGCGCCATTTCTCATTATGGCAATGCTCCTCCCCACACAGCGGTAGTCCTCACTGATTTCCTGAGAGCTCATAAACGTACTGCCATGGCCGTCAAGGTTAACCCCGTAGGATGAGCCAGACAGACATTTATGTTAACGTCAACCATGTCCACAGAATCTGCAGCGATTACGCTCTTCTGGAACAATGTGTAAGACATTCAGGGAATCTGCCAAGCAGATGTATCACTATTAAATACTATAAAATCACAGATTAAATCACTTCAAAAACACATATGTGTTTCTTTCTTTAGGTATATAGGAACATGTGGGAACGAAAATCTTGTTCTTTGCCCCCGGCCAATGACTATAACCCACATCCTGTGAATTCTAAACAACAAGAACTGTAGCTGTAGCTCCTTGGATATTGCTGGACACAAGGGAAAGTTGTCTGATGGAAAGGGTCATCCATGACTCCTTATGCATATATCTAATTATGAAACTGCAAATATAATGAACGGTTCTGCTGGTGTCTTCCATTTCTAGTTCAGGTGGGTAAATCCGTGGAAGAGAATTGACCATCGTTGAATTATATCAGATGAGGGACAGACCTGCAGCTTAGTAAACTTCTTGGCAAGATTCTTGTGTTTTAAGTTTTGCCAGTCCGAGCAGAAATTCCGATTCATATGCATAACGAAACAGAACAGCATTCTTGGCACCAACGGGGATGGCTACTTCTTCCTAAATCTTAAAATTAGATGTTAAATATAGATGTTGTAAATGAGGGGATCGAGCATTTTAAATCTTCGTTTCTTAGAAAATATCAGATGACATTTGCTGGCATTTTTCACAAATTAATTCCTTACATTCACTCTCACACACACTCATTCACACACTTTAAAAACAACACTAAACCATATTTCAGTCGTATTTTATTAACGACTGACTTTCACTCATGTTACTGACTGACATCAGATTTCCTTTTCGCAAATGAAGTGCGACGTACTGTACGCGTGACACGGAGCGTCGTTCCATAAATAGTAACTATAGGACCGTCTCATTTCCAGACAATGTTCTCTCCCCTTGTAATTATCAGGTTGTCTTGGAGACCAGTTGCTGTAGACCATAGGACGCCGTCCCTCCCACAGCCATCTCCCCTGCAGGTTCAGATCAGTCGCACCAAGCCAATACTTCGCAGCTATAAATAACAAATTAGAACGAATAAAGTTGCACTTTTCTTCGACCATATAGATATCTGTAAAAGGCGCCATGCCATTGCAGTCCAACTTTATAAGGAGGCAACTGTAAATACTACGCCATAAGTCGGTATTAAGGTAGTTAGGTACGCATGCATGTATATTAGTATGTATGTTGCTGAACAGAAAGCAAACGTTTATACAACGTTTCATTTCTGAGCTTTAACCTATAACGCCTTCTAGAAATAAAAAACGCATTTATTTGAAAAACTTTCAGTTTCGAAACTGTTCCTCAAACAAGACCTCATAGAAGTGTCACACAACCGCATAACATGTCATAACATTTCAGAGTGATTTTAATGCATTCTGTGAATACAGCTCGACTTCAGAGTTTAATCCATGTCTACATTTATTGTGTCGCAAAACACCACTACTAATATACCAAATTTTATTTCGAGAATAGGTGTCCTCAAATGCCCTAAATGTTTAAATATGGCGGATACATTAAGAATGGTCTCACAATTTATGAGTGTCAGATGTTCACAGAATCCGACGTTGACCACAATGACGAAAAATATATATCAGATATCAATGAGTTCCAAACATTTCACCTTTGCCTCTTCTTTTGGCATAACTTCTTAGGAAGTCGTCCTCATCTTTGTTATTTATCCTTACGAGATGGCTCTCCATGTAGCCACAGTAAGCCTGAAACATTAACAGACATGTCATGAATGTGATGATATTCCACCTGATACAAATATAATCCAGGTAACAATTAACAAGGTAATTTACAGCAAAAGCAACCCACTCTACAACTAATAAGACAATGTTGTCAAAGAAAGCCTTGATGATAAATTCCCGTAGGCGTGATTGCACATTTCCTTAATTCTCAATCTTACCACAAACTACATTGCACTGTCATGCGCCGTGTGTAATACCTTGACACTACTTGCCTGGAGTATATTGTTATGTCAAGTTGTTACATATGATCTATAGACTTTATGTATCATACTTTCAAAGCAATCGGGGGACACGGGAGGCCCAGTCGTCTTAGGCGCCCTGGAGCGGTTGGGTAGCCTAGTGGTTAAAGCGTTCGCTCGTCACGCCGAAGACCCAAAGTATGAAGCCCATTTCTGGTGTCCCCCGCCGTGATATTGCTGGAATATTGCTAAAAGCTGCGTAAAACCGTACTCACTCAGTCGCTCGTAGGCGCTGTGAATCGCGCAGGCGATTCGCTATGAAGAGTGGCGTCCCTTGGGTACGTAAGAAACCTATGATTGTGGGTTGGATTCCGGTTCGCCCTGATTATGTTTCTATGTTTGTCAGCACCATACCCACGTCGTGAATACTGGGATACTGTTAAAAGCTGCGTTAAACCCAACTCACTCACTCAAGCACTCGTGGTGTAAGATAATCATAAAATGTATTAGGCTTTAATCAGAACTAGACATCCTCCTTTATCCAATCTATCAAAATTTGTCTCGTCATGATATGGCTGAAATATTACCGATGTGACGTTAACCATTAACTCACTAACTCGTCGTTATTCTCCATGATTCTATTATGAAAGATACAATGGACCCCTTCACAGCCATAGATTGATTGAGAAGGTCAGATTCGAAGCAGGAAGCTAGAAGTAGCCACCTAATCATATGAACTCATGTGCGAGCGAAATCCAGTGAGACTTGCGAAAAAAAACCTGTGTCAAACAAAGCAACGAACGTGAATGGGTCCAGGGGACTTTCTTTTTTGTTCTCCGTGGTCCTTAGGAATACACCAGGCATATTTCATGGGTAGCTCATAAGTCAAGATTAAGAATAATTCGAAAATGGACACTTTCTGAAACAGGATTAGTGTTCACACATGTCCTTCCCTTGGTTGTGCTCTATATCGGTCAAGTTCAGTGTGAAGTTTTTCTTCAAACAAGGTTACATTATTGTCAGATTCTGAGACAGGCTTATTACTTCATGCATGACACTTGCTTCACAACTTACGCTTGCTTCAGCAAATGATCCATGTATGTTGGAAAACCAGTAGCAGGACTTCTTGTACTGCATAAACCCAAGAGGACAAGACTTTGTACCTGAATCCACACAAAAAATCACGCACCTTGGCAGAAGCTCACAACATTGTTGGCCAAACACAAACATGCATGTTGTATCACTCAACCTAACATTTGATCATCACTTGATTTAAGTGACCTCAACCAAAGTGTTTAGCGAGATTTGTCCAAAACTAGATCAACAGATATCCCAGTTATACTTAGAACAAAGGTGGCTGGGTTAAAAATCATATGAAGCACAAAGAGAGAGTTCGCCTGCAATATTAAGAAACATTAATACACCATGATTTGTAGAGAAGTGTGTTAAAGGAAAATTGATGCATTATAATCGAAGTAAAAGAAAACATACTTTTTTATAACCTAGTCGAAGATACTGAAGCTAATTATGATGCATTGAACAACACAGTTTGATGTTCATATAGCTACTACCATTCACACAATGTTTAAGCTTTCTGCATCTTGTGATTCTTGAGATTATGATTTCTAAATTTGCATTAAATTTGATTTTCCATATATTTTTTATAAAAATATACCCATAAAATTAAATCACAATAATTTGAATAAAATAGCATGACTTTACATATGGATAGCCTTGTAGCTTTTAACATTGGCACAAAGTTAGGACATTCTGCATCTTGTAGTTCTTGAGATTATGGTTTCTAAATATTTTGTGGAAATGTATTTTCTTTAAATCACAATAATTTGAACGCAATACAATAAGAATATAAATGCATTCCAGATTTTAGCTTCATCAGTCAAGCAATATCAGGTGTGAAGTGGGTGGGTGAGTGTGGATGGCTTTAAGAATAAATTGAGCAAATGGGACTTCAGCGTCACGAGCGAAAGCTTTTCTCGCAATACTTCCCCACCGCCAAATTAGAGAAGATGTTTAAGAGAAAAATAATTTCCACTGCAAAGGACAATATAGGGGTTAATATATTTATAGGAACAGATCGATCCAGCTTGGAAATCAAAACTGGCGCATTCGTCGGTTTGATATAATTAGAAGGCCGAGCACGATGTTTATGTTTTGTCAGACTTACTTCCGGGTCAAATGAGGTCTTTGACGCGATGTGCCTACGGGTTGTACAATTCTGACACCCGATATCCATTAGGTATCACTAAGAGCGAGATGAATTCCTTTCCCCAAGACCATTTGCACGAATTCCCACACTTTTTCACAAATGCATATTGAATACGAGAAAATGACATTGAGTGGTTAGTTACGATTTTGCACATCTTATAAACAAGGATAGTGTTAATAACTAAAAAATAATTATTGATTTACGATTTTCGCCAATTATTGGGCATAGTCATCAGCTTAGATTGCTAAACAGCCGTGACTAAGTGTAAATAAATACGACAGTGATCTGATTTCCGTCTGTGCAGATAGAAATCAAACCAATATTTAAACCAAAGCACAATCTGGTATAAATGTTTTCTCGCTCTATTAGATATTATAATATTTAACAGATTTTTAGATATGATTTAGTTTCAAAATCACACACATTCCGAATTGCGAATTTCTCATGCAACAACAAACAAGGAGATTTAGTAATTTTCAATGTTTTTTGGTAACGCAAAATCTTTCAGTTTGATTCACATTCCTTCATCATAATCCTGCAGTGTCTAGAAAGAAGGGGAATATATTTGGTGAGAAGAAAATTGAATTGCCTCAATGTTTTGACAGATTGGAATAACAGTTTAAAAGTCACATGTTGAGACATTTATTCACATTCAAGATATTCACTGGTAGTGTAGGCATATTAATATACATTCTAGTGAAATAACTCAATGATTATAAGCAATTTCGAAGTGATTTTCATGAATTTACTGGAATGATATCTAAAGATGGTAATGTCATGATATGAATTAATCAAGTAATTGACCCGTTATTGATCTGCGGTAGAACAGGTCTTCAGCAACTCATGTTTGCCATAAAAGGCACTTCTAAATTCCATCAATTCTCTTTCTTATGTGTTTCACTTCTAAATTCCATCTATTCTCTTTCTAATGTGTTTCACTTCTAAATTCCATCAATTCTCTTTCTTATGTGTTTCACTTCTAAATTCCATCAATTCTCTTTCTAATGTGTATCACTTCTAAATTCCATCAATTCTCTTTCTTATGTGTTTCACTTCTAAATTCCATCAATTCTCTTTCTAATGTGTATCACTTCTAAATTCCATCAATTCTCTTTCTTATGTGTTTCACTTCTAAATTCCATCAATTCTCTTTCTAATGTGTATCACTTCTAAATGTTTTTCAAAGACTTCATTCAAAGAAACGACAAAACCGGTCACAGACCTAAATACTGGCAGGTATTTGAAGAATTTTAACATTGTATACAGATGTTGAAACTTTTTGTACCGACATTTGCTGCATAAATTGGGGCTGAATAGCGGCCCTAGTGTCATGGTGTAAACTAGCCCAGACACATGTTCCAGAAGCCCAGATAAAACAATATAGTTAATACAATGATTCATGTGTTATTTATGAAAACTGTTCATGAACTATGTAGCAGAGATAGGAAAACAATCACTGCTTTGTTTTTATTACCAATTCGTCAAATGGTATTCATAAAAATATAGTACGCCAGGTATAAGACGTAGGCAATGTTGTTACTGTTGACAATCTGTTAATAGATATCCAAATGATTTGCAACTTCCACATGCTTGTGTTTACGGTTTCAACAGCATTATGATTGAAAGTAAAACAAAGTAAACGTTAATTAACCTGCCTACGGATTAATTAGGAGATAAACATACTGTGCTTTCAATGTAGAGCTAGGTTACCTGTAGATTTAACCCCACTAAATTGAATATGGATATTTGCATATAGAAAAGCGCCAAAAATTCAAGCTCTCTCTTGTCTCCAAAACGTAAATACATTCCCTTTGTTGATTCCGTCGTGTTTTTCTGCAGTGCCCTTTGTAGATTTTTTATCGTGACAGAAAAAAGTACTATTCTATGAATATTAGCTTCCGCGGTGATGCGGCCGTCAAACCAGCTATTTCAATCAGATGGGGTTTATTTTAATTTAATAGCCTCTGATTGACCAATCAGAATGGAGTAAATTCCAGATTCATGGTAGATAACTGTATTAATTACTTATCTGTGCCCTGTCTGGCATGATGTGCTCGAAGTAATGCACTTCACATATTCAGCATTGCCTTCCCCAATGACCGATACCGGACATATATGTCATTTTTACTCACCACATACAATTTAAAAAACTAATTTAAGATATAACCCACAACAAAATATGAATAACCCTTTTCTTTAGACCTCTTTGGCAAATCACAAGTATCAAACTATGCCAAACCCAATTCATCGCGCACGTAAATAAAAGTCCCGCCGTCTGGGACGCCAAAGTGATCCACGCGAATGTGTTTTCCCACTAACGTCAGAAACTAAGACGGAATCTTTAAGCTAGCGGACGGGGCTTATCGGCTGAGACTGGATCAATCTCATACCAGTCCCTAGAACTGATTGAACTACTTGTAAATTATATCACAAATTGTACCCATTTGAGGAATTGAACCTGGGTCTTAGATGAGTGACAAGCAAACGCTTTTTATCGGAGAATCCAATGCTGGATAGCATCAGAAACGATCAACGACAGTGTAGGACGAGACACACTTTATACTCGATAATTTCATGTATGCATACAATGGCCTATTATTATCCAGTAAAATGTTGATAATTTGCAATTGGGATCATTGGGACATAAGGTGCCTCTGCTTCCTGCACGATACCACAGCAGGATTTACATTATCACTTTAGCTACTGGTGGTTGTGCACAATACAAGGCAATATTATAGAAATGCTCAGCAGTGACTTGGCTTAAAACACTGGTTGATGATAGTTGCATCGATTATGACAGGATTTACGTGTAACACACGGGGACAATTATTTTACTTCTATCTCCTGGCCGGAGCCTTCCATTATCTTTGTTGATAAACGAATGCCACCAAATTTTAAAGCAAGCAATTTGTTATTCACATCTATAAAACAAATATGATACAGGCCAATTTCTTTCAAGTAGCTGAGAATAATTTATCCGCTTGCAAGGGAAAAAATATAATTCAGATTTATTGTTTGATGATGTGAATCATTTGCGATTGTAAAGTCGACACAGTCAAGCAAAATATGCTTGACGGTGAACCTTTCTTTACAAGAAATACACTTTGGGGGTTCGTCCTCATCTGTTTAAATAGAGTAGCCTCCAACCTATATTTAAGGAGAAACGCCTCCCCACAGTAGAATAAAGCACATTTTTCTTCACAAGACGTCACTTATGCATGAGAAAATGCAGGTTGTGGTGATTTCTTGTGATGGTAGACAAGTTTTTTTGGTTGAAAATTGCACATTTATGTGTCAATATTAAGTAAATCAAACAAATGGCTCTAAACAAAGTCAGTGTGCATATCTGAATGCTCATTTTATAACAAAAACAACAATGTGCTGACATAGGAAATCTCCAATAGAAGAAATAAAACATTATCAAAATTATTTATGTCGAATTATAACAAAAAAGTGTAGAAAACATGTAAAATCACTCAATTTTCATTTTTAAATTAATACAAAACAACGATAATGTAATTTCCACGTTTCGGAATATATATACTTACTCCTTCATCAGGTGAATTAATGCTTTGAAGCTGAGAACATATATATATGTACCTGTAGGAACATCAAAAGTAATAAGATAACAAAGATGGTAACTTAACATGGGAAGCCAACAGATAAATGGTGCTGATAAGTGATGAGCAATGGGCAAATGGAAGCCAACACTTAGCAGTCAGTTAGCGCTGATAGGTGATTAGCACTGGGCAAATGGAAGCCATCACTTAGCAGTTAGTTAGCGCTGATAGGTGATAGCAGGACCCAATGATGGGTAAGAAAAACACGACATGAAGAACTTTCAACGTTTATGGACAACGGGGGACAAATGCGACCCGTCTTCTGTATCTGTCATATCATTTGCATGACAATGAGCGGAGTGATGCCTTACCAGTGTGTACAACTAAACATTGTGAGGCTTACTTGTTTATATTTGCGGGAGACCCCTTATTTTCGCTCACTTCCATGCGCTGTTGTAAGCGAGTTAAACATACAGATGTTGGGAAAAAACGTTTGACCAAATGCAACCCTATACTTTGTTCAAAGGCATTTGACGGTGTTTCCTTAATTCAAATCGACGACCCGCTCAAAATATTGACATCTACCCATGCCGTTTCACTCAATATCTTCGCTAGTACAAACATGTAAATTTGCAGGGTAAACTGACGATAAACATGCAGTATTCAAAAGATGTGCGCTCAGTTTCTGCATTGAAAAGAAAGCAATATTTAGCTCCGAAAGAATACATACACATGTAAGTTTTTTTCAAAGATACATCATTCATAATAAATAAAAATAGATTAAAAGATGGTACCTTGCATGGCGAGTGCGTATCAATGCAATATTGTGACATGATAGGTTTGCCCTATAAAACCGACAAACGTCCGGCCTAGTTAACTGCAAGACACATGCAATATATCACCCTCACATGTTAGGGGCGGTTGGGTAGCCTAGTGGTTAAAGCGTTCGCTCCTCACGCCGAAGACCCGGGTTCGATTCCCGACACGGGTACAATGTGTTAAGCCCTGCCGTGATATTGCTGGAATATTGCTAAAAGCGGCGTAAAAACCAAACTCACTCACTCACTTGTTAACGTCAATGTATAAATGTAAGTAGTTACCTGCAGTAGCTGATGCCAGTGAGCACAGAAGTACAGCCAGGAGCTGGAGCCGCATGGTTCTGAGTGTCAGCCGTGTACAGCTGCAATCTGACAGGGACACGCCAGCTCAGCTTTTAAATATTACAACAAAGATCCGGGAAAAGAGAGTGTTCAATATTCACCTGTTGGGAGTGTGACAGGTATATGATCAAGGACCTAACACATATAGGTATTGTATTTCGAAATCAGACTCATATCCGCCCCAGACACCAGCTGCTGCACATAATTTCAGCACGTTTCACACCTGACTTCAGTTATTATTACTGCAGCACATGGCGTTATCACTGTCCAGGATATCAGGTGTTATGTTATAATAAATAATCCAGTGTGTTTTTAAAAACAATACAGCTTGTGAGAAATTGAAAACAACAAATATGTTTTCCAAAGGTTCAGATGAACAAGAAAACGGTATCATACCCATCCCCCGCCATAGGGCACATTAGAGTTGTGTTGGTTCAAATAGTGGTGAATATAAACTTTTATCTTATAAAGCCTTAGGGAGAAATGGGCCGCTTAATGACATCAGAAAAAAATGATTAAATGTGAAATTAATACACACAAAAGGCCCATTCTCTGGAAAAAATAACTCAGTCTTCAGAGGTATCTCTTAGATGAGCACGCAAACCTTCATTCATGTAACTTCAGTAGTTTCTGAGAAAACGAGTCCCCATTTCACGCAGTATGCACTAAGTTGAAAAAGCATAACGCGAGGGCCATACATCCCTCACAACATAAATGACGGGACCAATTTTCGAACCCAGTTTTGACAAGTATCTCTCAGGTAAGAATGCAAACTTTCATTCCTTCAGATCCGTGAAGATTCCGGGGTAGAATAGGTCTTCAGCAACCCATGCTTGCCGTAAAAGGTGACTATGCTTGTCATAAAAGGCGACTAACGGGACCGGGTTGTCAGGCTCGCTGACTTGGTTGATACATGTCATCGATCGAAATTGCGTGGATCGATGCGCATGATATTAATCAGTGGATTGTCTGGTCCAGACTCGATTATTTACATATCGCCGCCTTATAGCTGGAATATTGCTAAGGGTGGCGTTAAACAACAAACAAACAAACAAAATGTTTACCACCGACGGAAGTCGGCGAGTCTGACCACCCGATCCCGTTAGTCTCCTCTTACGACAAGCATAGTCGCCTTTTAGGGCAAGCATAGGCTGTTGAAGACCTATGCTACCCCGGACCTTCACGGCTCCGTAAACATTTACATGTGAGTGAGTGAGTGAGTGAGTGAGTGAGTGAGTGAGTGGTATAACGGCTGAACATGACAGATGCAACATACTATCAGATGTCAGCACCAGAGAGTAACCAGTCTTGTTTATACGAAGACACAGATCCCATCCGGCGTAAAAGACGAAATAGCGATGAAAAGAATATGATAGGTTCACTGACAATCAATACAACAGGACTTGTGGTAAAAAATAAACATATGTTGAGAACCACGTTAACTACAACATGATATTTCAACCCATATCAACAATACAGACCAATTTCTTTTAAGTATTTAAAAACCAAATGCCCGAGAACATGGTAAACATATCTTTCCGCACACAAGACGCACGACATATGGTTCATCCAATCAATGGCATCCCGGTTCAAAGCAAGAATATACTACAAACACATGCTTATTCAAGGGGTGGTTTGGTAGCCTAGTGGTTAAAGCGTTCGCTCGTCACACCGAAGACCCGAGTTCGATTCCCGACATGGGTACAATGTGTGAAGCCCCGGTGTCCCCCGCCGTGATATTGCTGGAATATTGCTAAAAGCTGCGTAAAACCATACTCACTGACACTGCTTATTCAATTAACAAAACGGGTTACAATAGGTCTTCAGCAACCCATGCTGGTCGTAAAGAGGCGATTGATCTTAACTGCATAGACTGATGCTCATGTTGCAAATCACTGGATTGTCTGGTCAATTACACAACCCGCCGTCGTTAAGCTGGACTATTGCTGAGTCTGGCGTTAAAAAACAAACAAATCAACAAGCATATCTTTCGATAGCGCGACACGACTTATGTATGATGTGTGAGGATCCAAAAGAGATGCAGGTCTCGGATGTTTACTACTTGGCGAAACCCACGATCATGTGCATGGTGTTAATAGACGTAGAAATATAATCGAAACAACGATCATCGGTTTCTGGCTCGCCTTCGGGACGCTACCCTGCACAGCCAGTTGCTGCCCACTCGACGACTGAGCTATCCAAGCCACACCACACACACACACACACACACACACACAGACACACACAGACACACACACACACACACACACACACACACACACACACACACACACACACACACACACACACACCACACACACACCACACACACCACAAACCACACACACACACCACACACACACACACACACACACACACACACACACACACACACACACACCACACACACACACACACACACCACCACCACCACCACCACCAGTATTATCAGTGAAATGCCGCTGTAAGGTTTATGATTTACCACCACACTTCATCTGCAATGTGCAGTAGTCATCGCTCCTATATCTTTCCATATGTTGGGTCACATAAACAAGTGTTAACACAATCTGCTGCACTAGAGTAAACCCAACCCATGGTCCAGTGTAAAAGACACAGATAGATCATAGATGGCATAGTGGGTCACATAAACAAGTGTCAACACAATCTGCTACACTAGAGTAAACGCAACCCATGGTTCAGTGTAAAAGACACAGATAGATCATAGATGGCATGTTGTGTTGGAGTCCGGGAAACACTTGACAATTCATTTTTCAACCCCAAGTTGTACAAGAATAAATCAGCAGTGTCGACAGGAATTACACACAACTGCCTGGATGTTCATTCCCCTTTCACGCTTTGAGAACGCGTGTATCACAGGTTGCACATGGCTTGAGCACACGTGTGCATGAGTGACCTACACATGTGCAACCCTTTGAGCCCGCATCAAATGCGTGTAGCACGGGAGCGGGTTCCAGTTGAATTTGACAAACAGATGAAATGAATAGTGAGATGAAACAACACAGTGTGATGTGAATATTGAGTGAGGGCTATTGACCTGTGTTCACAAGACCATAAACACAAGGTCGGCCCGTTTAAATTAGTGTTCGGTTGCTGGACGTATAAGCATGAATCTTTCTACTTGGGTCCAGTCTGGTCAAGTTATCAAAGCGTAAATCTGGAAGATCTCTTTTCCCGTGTCAGCGGGCATCTTATCATCAGCTATCTGAAAGAAACTGGTCAGTATAATAAATTTTAAATATGTATGTGAATAAATAAATACTTGTTTTTAAATTTGGTGTGATGCTATTAGCAACTGACATTATTGAAGGCTCTGTCCAGGAGGTTAACGTAGCGTAAACATATGTTCCCCCTGTGTGACACATAATCCTATCATAATCGATGTAACTATCATCAACCAGTGTTTTTAAGCAAACTCAATGCTGAATATTTTGTAATATTAGTTATTATTATGCACAACCACAGTAGCTAAAGTGATGACGTAAATCTTGCTGGGGTATTATGCAGGATGCCGAAGTACTGTAAGTCCTCATGATCCCCAGCGAGTTGGCCTAGCTTTGGTTACTGGTGTTTTAAAACTGTATTATATTATGCTCAAATATGTTTCATAAGTTGGTTTTAAATATAGCATGCATGAATTGATTTTAAATATTACTTTTCATAGATGACTCAATTGTTAACATGTTAAACTGGGTCTCGTCGCTATATGGCGGAAATAATGCCGTTGCGACGTTAAATATTAACTCACCCAAACTCACCAAACTCATTGCAATTGTGACTAGCTGACAGTAGAACAGTAGCGAATTTAGATTCGCCTTCATTGCTACGGGAACCCCCGAGTTGACACGATTAGCTTTGGTTGGTAAATATTCGAAATTAATCAAGTGATTGTGTTTGTTGATTGCTTTTCGGTTGAATTGTTTGCCTACATGAGTCAGTCCAGATGACAAATATAACCATGTTGGTTCGCAAAATGTATGCCTTTGATTGTCGGAACATCCAAGTTTTCGTCTTGTTTTTGTAAGAATTGAGGAGAAAGTTTTGCTGGGGACTCCAACATTTTCTGTTAGTTCTAATAGTATAATAGAAATAAATATTAACTACCATGTAGTCTGACTCTAGATAGGATCTGTCATCTCAACAATCACCGTGTGTAACCATGTAGAAGAAATCCCATGAGGGTTTGTGATTTTGAGCATTGCCCGATATTGCTGTTTGGAGATACGAAAGGTAACAGTTTATTATTAGAGGTGAGGTGAGGTGAAATTGGGTTTAACGTCGCGTCCAAGATTATTGCACTTATATAGCGACGTTATTATTAGAGGAAATTGGTTGTGAATGCTTATACCATGTAGATAGGATATCTTTAGGATTTCTTATCCTTTATTGTGAGTATTCCTTTAACGCTGATGGAAGGAACTCACTCAACCAGTTCATGCATTCTACGTCACGATCTCCTGCTGCTGATTGTGAGACAGACAGCAGTGGTCCTTTCACTTTGATGGAAGGAAGTCACTCAACCAGTTCATGCACTCTACGTCGGGATCTCCTGCTGCTGATTGTGAGACAGACAGCAGTGGTCCTTTCACTTTGATGGAAGGAACTCACTCAACCAGTTCATGCAATCTACGTCGGGATCTCCTGCTGCTGATTGTGAGACAGACAGCAGCGGTCCTTTCACTTTGATGGAAGGAAGTCACTCAACCAGTTCATGCACTCTACGTCGGGATCTCCTGCTGATTGTGAGACAGACAACAGTGGTCCTTTCACGTTGATGGAAGGAAGTCACTCAACCAGTTCATGCACTCTACGTCGGGATCTCCTGCTGATTGTGAGACAGACAACAGTGGTCCTTTCACGTTGTTGGAAGGAAGTCACTCTCATTTCGTCCCTCCACCTCCGGCAAAATGACAAATTCATTATTCTTCAAAATCTAAATATGCAAACCGAACAAGCCCTCTGGTTGTTTCCTTTTTCGAACGAACCCCTCCTTCCATTTTTGGCAAACCACACAAAATAGTCTAGCGGGCCTGTGTGCGAAATAAGCATAATT